GTGTGTGTGTGTCTGTGTGTGTGTGCGTGTTTTAAGAATTGTTTATTTCAAAGACAGAGTGGCACAGAGAGAGGGAGAGACAGATCTTCCACTTCCACTCCCCAAGTGGCTGCAACAACTTTGGGCCAAGCCAAAGTCAGGAGTCAGAAACTCAACACTGGTCTCCCACATGGTGGCTGGGGCCAGACAGTACTTGGGCCATCTTCCACTCCCTTCTGAGTTGCGTTAGCATTAGGAAGTGTATTAGGAAGCTGGATTGGAAGTGGAGCAGCTGGGACTTGAACCAGCATTCCCAGTGTGCCATAATGACAGCCTCAGGTGAGGGTTCTTATTTGGGGTTCATGGGGTCTCTTTACTCCCCCAAGTTACATGCTTTATGTTGTGCATATGTCAAATATTCATTTTGTTTTTCTGGGGAGAGGCTTTGCTTTCAATAGTTTTCACACAGGTCTGTCTTCCACGCTACCACCAAAGTAGAAAATGCATGCTTCAAGAGAAGTTCAACATTCTCTGCCCCCACTCAGGGCTCACTCAACCCCAAGAAGATTGGTGGAGCTTTTCCATGACAAAAAAAAAAAAAAAAGGTAAATGTCCTGGCCCTGCTGGACCCATCAACTCTGCTGCTCCTCTCACCTGCTGAGAGAAGGTTAACTGTGTTGAAACTGTTAACTCCAGACTCTTACCTGCTTGGGAGAAGATGTCTCCTATTTGAGGAGAGGTGAGGGTTTTTAGGTCTCCCTATCCCAAGCAAAACCCTCACAAGAACACAGATCTGAGCCTTGCTGGTGAGGGGATGAAGGTCAAAGCCTCGAGTCTTCCTTTGTCAGGCCTCTTTATCTGACTTCAGTTGGTAGCAGCTTTTTAAATTTCTTGTTTCTATATATTTGATTTTTGGAGGTAGAATGAAAGAAAGAGGGAGTTGAGGTGGGAGGGAAATACAGACAAACACTATCTGCTTTCATTTCGCAAATGCCCACAATGGTTGATGCTAGGCCAAGCTGAAACCAAGAGGTAGAAACTCAGTCAAGTTCTCCCATATGGGTGGCAGAAACCCAGTTGGTTGTGCTATTTCTGCTACCTTCCAGGTTCTGCATTAACCCGAAGCTGGAGTGAGAAGCCAGAGCCAGGTGTCAAACTCAGGGACTATGGTATAGGATGTGAGCATCTTAATTGCTAGGCCCAATGTGTGCCCTGGTGATGACTTTTTAATGGTAGAGAATTTGAAGTCAAAATTCCATTTGATGTCTCTCTGCCTTTCAATGGAGTAGTTTAGTAATTTTATGATTTATCATCCTTTGGTATCACATACATACACACATAATAGCAAAATCTCAGAAGATGTCAATTTTTTAAAATATTTATTTCATTTATTTGGAAGAGAGATTTACAGAGAGAGGTAGAGACACAGAGAGAGGTCTTCCATCTGCTGGTTCACTCCCCAGATGACTGCAATGGCTGGAGCTGTGCTGATCCGAATCCAGGAGACAGGAGCTTCTTCTGGGTCTCCCACGTGGGTGCAGGGGCCCAAGGAATTGGGCCATCTTTTACTGCTTTCCCAGGCCATAACAGAGAGCTGGGTCAGAAGAGGAGCAGCTGGGACTAGAACCGGTGCCCAATTGGGATACCGGCACTTAAGGCCAGGACTTTAACTCGCTGCGCCACAGAGCTGGCCCCTAAGATGTCAGTTTTAATAGACAGCTTCCAACCATTTGATTGGCATTAGTTGACAAAAATCCAGGCAATTTTGTAGTTTATCTTTAAATTTTAGAATAGTAATTCCATGAATAAAATCAGCCAGTTTTGTCTCTTTTGATGTGTAATTAAGCACAAAAATTTTATTGAGCACTTACTTTATGCCAAAGCTAAACTAGTCTGTTTCCTGCATTATCTTGTTTAATCTTTCTATCATCTCCATGAGAGTGGATGTATTATTATCTCCATTTACAGATTAGGAGGAAATGTCTTGAGGAGATGTCTTACTGGAAACTCCAATGATTAGATCACCATTCATTTGGTTCATGCTACAATCAGGAAGTGAGTGGTATAAGAATGGAATGACACCCACGAGCATACTTTGGTTTAGTTTTAATTTTCTCACAATTGGAAAAACCAATTCTCTGCTTCTGCAGCCACCATCTGAGGTGCACTGATAGCTGCCTCCTCCCATCTCTATATGGAAGAAAATCCAGATTTGTTACTCTCTATTGAGTCAACAAATGCAAAGAAATTAAAACTTCTATAATAGCCTTCCCTCTTAATTTCCAACTCACTAAATACTATAATTATAGTTTAAAGCAAGGAGGGACCAAAATAAGATTGCTGATGTATTATTTTACTAAGTAATTACTTAACTATTTAAGTAAAATTAGTGAAAAATTTTCATTATTTAACATAAAGTAGAGAGGTCCTCATTCATTAAGAGGATGTTCCTTTAAATGGAAGGCACTTAGATGTATAAATACACCAGTTAGGCCACTGAGGTCGCACAGAGAAGCAAGCTGCCACTTGTAATACCAGCATCCCATATTGGAGTGCTGATTTGGGTCCTGGCTGCTGCTTATCTGATCCAGCTTCCTACTAATGCACCTGGGAAGGCAGCATATGATGGCCCAAGTACTTTGTCCCCTGCTTCCCATGTGGGAGACCAGGGTGCAGTTCCTGGCTCCTGGCTTCAGTTGGGTCCAGCCCTGGCTGTTCTGGCCATTTGGGGAGTGAACCAGAGGATGGAAGATCTCTCTCTTTCTCTCTCTCTCTCTCTCTCTTCCTTTCAAATAAATTAATAAATTTAAAAAATGCTTACATAAATGGCCTAATTATTTTTCCTTTTCACCAAAAACTGGCAAAATTTTATCACAAAATGAATCTTGTTAACTGTTTCTGTTGGAGGATGTTCTAGAAGTTTACAATGAAAGGGGCAAAAAAAATGCTTTTTAAAAGATACTATTATGCTGGACTAATTTTTGTGCACCTTTTCTAATTTTTGAAATGTTGGAGTTCTGATCTGAGGCACTGCTTAGAGGCAAAGAAAAACAGGAACACTCAGTTACTGCCAGACATTACAATCTAAGGCATATTTATTCAGCCCAATGTCAAGGACATCAAAATGGACAATTTTAGCTCTTTATCTATGCGTGGTTTATGCAACCTTTGGTTGTCTAGCATAAAATGTTAATTTCCATCTTTAATAAATAACTAGACTCAGAGATATTAGCCACTGCATTTAACGTCTGTCCCAACTAACCGTATTCCTCTGGATGTAGTTGGAGAAGAATTTCAGTTATCTAAGACTCACGAGGGCCCAGCTCCAGCTGGGACTCCAAATCATGTTTCCAGAACACAAAGAACACTTGATAAAGTTGGAGAGAAATATTTTTTGAAAATATGTCACCAGGCAGCTTGGGAATAATTTAACAGAATCATCCTACAGGGTATGAATTTAACCTTTGATCTCTCAAATGAAGGTCAGCAAATTTGTTTTTACTCTACATATCTTATAATCAATTCAATGTCTGAGTAAATCAGTCTCTAAAGAAGAGGCTGTGTTTACAGATAAGTGATACTTTCACCCTCTGATTTTTAGACATTTAACCCTCTTTTCTATGAATTAAATTCTGTTGTTTTTACCAACATTTTTTTAATCAGAAAGAGAACTCTTAAAACTTAGAATATTAGAAGAGGAAAAATACCATACTGTTATCTGCAAAGGAAATAAAAAGTCCAACAAAATGGTTTCACCATTTTTTGTTTTAAGAAACACATGAAAATGTGTTTTTTTTATTTGACAGATAGAGTTATAGACAGTGTGAGAGAGAGAGAGAGAAAGGTCTTCCTTCTGTTGGTTCACCTCCTAAATGGCTGCTACAGCCGGCACTGCGCCAATCCGAAGCCAGGAGCCAGGTGCTTCTTCCTGGTTTCCCATGTGAGTGCAGGGGCCCAAGCACTAGGGCCATCCTCCACTGCCCTCCTGGGCCACAGCATAGAGAGCTGGACTGTAAGAGGAGCAACTGGGACTAGAACCCAGTGCCCATATGGGATGCTGGCACCGCAGGTGGAGGATTAGCCAAGTGAGCCACGGCACTGGCCCAAAAATGTATTGTTTTTTAGCCATCAGTTTATCTAACACCTTCTTGCTTATCTATCCTTTTTTTTTTTTTTTTTTAAACAGCCAGAGTGGACAGTGAGAGAGAGAGACAGAGAGAAAGGTCTTCCTTTGCCGTTGGTTCACCCTCCAATGGCTGCCACGGCTGGCATGCTGCAGCCGGCGCACCGCACTGATCTGAAGGCAGGAGCCAGGTGCTTCTCCTGGTCTCCCATGTGGGAGCAGGGCCCAAGCACTTGGGCCATCCTCCACTGCACTCCCGGGCCACAGCAGAGAGCTAGCCTGGAAGAGGGGCGACCGGGACAGAATCCAGCGCCTCGACTGGGACTAGAACCTGGTGTGCCAGCACCGCAGGCGTAGGATTAGCCTACTGAGCCGTGGCGCCGGCTTATCTATCCTTTGAACCAAAGTTGACCAAGTGTAGCCAGTGGGCCCCATGTGCCAAGTATGACCCACTGCCTATTTTTTTATTAAAGATTTATTTATTTATTTGAAAGTCAGAGTTACACAGTGAGAGGAGAAGCAGAGAAAGAGAGAGAGGCAGAGAGAGAGAGGTCTTCCATCTGATGGTTCGCTCCCCAATTGGCCGCAATAGCCAGAACACTACCTATTTTTTAAGTAAAGTTTTATTGGAACACACCCATGCTCATTCATTTATGTACTGCCTTTATACACATATCAGGCTGCCTCTATGCTATGATGACAGAGTTAAATAATTGCAGCCGAACCTGTACGATCCACAAAGCTAAAAATACTTACTATTTGACTCTTTACCAAAAACGTTTGCCAATCACTATTTTAAATCAAAGAAAGAAAAATGGGAGGTGGTGGTGACATTGTGAAAATACACCCTCAGCCGAGATACAGTGACAGCTTATGGGTCACGGAGAGTAGACATTGTTTTTATCCCTTAGAATAACATCAAGGGGATGGAAAAAAGAGTAGTTGAGGATGCAGCGTAATGAAATTAAGACAAAATAACTAAATCTATTCCTCTGATTCTCCAAGAGTCTGTCTAAGAAAAATATGCCATGGTAGAGAGAGGTGAACCCAGAATCCTCAGCTAATGTCAGCCATTTGGGAATAAGAGTTCCTTCTCTTTGGCAGATGTGTGGCTCAAAGTTCATCATGAGTGCACTACAAAGAAAGCACAGCATGTGTTGTTGTGTGAGGAGACCAGCACTGGCTTGTCAGTGGAATAGCTAATTTAGTTAAAGGACATGGGGAAACAGTGGGGGTGGGGGACCAGAACTTGGAAAAGGAATAGTTTTAACTCTTTCTGGGCATGACTTTTAAAATAATGATGTTTCTGTTTAAGAAATGCCTATAGAATTTAAACCAGAGGAATGAAATGCAGTCTGTGCCAGTCCTTGCCAGTCATCCTCCATGGACAGCTGCCAGCAGGCTGATACACAAAGGCGATCATCCCATGCATGGTTATTTCAGTCGTAGACGCTCGTCATCTCTTGAAATTGCTCCACAGCCAGGATTCCAAATTCCAGCCTCTGCTTGTCTCACTCAGAAGTCAAGTGCACAGGCTGATGAGGGTGGGTTTTCTCAACTTGCCTCTCCAGCTGCAACTACCGGATCCCCATCCAGGGTCTGGATTTTTCATCCTTCTCTTGGAAGAGAAAGGGCAGAGACTTCCCTCTTGGCCCATGTATTACCATGTTTTCTGCTTTCTTTACAACATTGCTCTGTGAGTTCCAGCTGCTTCCTCTCTACTGGCTCTTTCTACTTTCCCAACAAATGTGCATGGGTCTCCCTCACCATAGACATCTGAAAAATCAAAAACTAAAAACACAAACCTCCCCTCAGTTTTGCTGCTCTCTTGTCACTCTCCTAGCTTTCTAGTCATTTTCCTTGTAAAAAGAGAAGAAAGTTATGCAGTGATAGCAAACAGTCCCCATGTCTCAGTGGCTTAATGAATGTTTATTTCCTGGGTGTGCAGTGGCTGTGGAACATCAGGTGACCTCAGCAAGAGTATCTGTACCTAGTGATCCAGCAAGCAGGGGATCTTCATCTTTTGGTTTTGTCATAATGCACAGGACTTCCTGCATGACCATGTGGCAAGGAGAGAGAGAGACGGAAGACTCAGGAATGGGCTTTGACCACCTCAGCCCAGAATGACTCCCTTCATATTTCACTAAAGAGCTGCCACATGGCTCCTCCCTGAGTACAAGGGCCCTGAGCAGTGCTCTTCCATGTGCCTGGAAGGGGAGCATTCCTGACATTGGTGAATACAGTGATGCCTCCCACAACTACTGAACTGCTTCATCAGTGTCCACTTGCTGTCACCCTCCCCCATCTTCTGTCTTCTAAAATTCGGCTTTTGTCTCCATTGTTTTACTAAAGCTACCTTTTTCTTACAATAACTTCATAGTCATCTATCTAACCATATTATTGCTGCTACTTCTCTTTGGTTTCTTTGTAGATTTTAATGCCTCTCTTCCTAAATTTCCTTTTCAGATTGCATGACAGCATTTGTAGCATTTTCCTACTTTCCCTCAGTCTTTTATACCCTCTTTTTCTCAGTCTCTAACTTTTCCTTCCTCCTGCTCAGTGGTAAGAATCCAGGTAGTTCAGAGATCTCGATAATCTACATGCTCTCCTTGAGGATTCATCAGTCAGTCAGTCAGTCAGTCAGTCAATCCACCCATCCACTCCTTTCTTTGGATCTAGAATTACTCTTCTAACTTTCACTTAGATCACTGGTACTTTTATATTGACATAAATTCGTAGTTTTAGAAGAAGTAACTGATCTAATGATTTCTGTTAATGGAGCAGTCTTAATTAGCATACCCTGCATATAAATGACAGAAAAATAATTTCTTTACCTCAGGTAAGGAGAAGTTGAGGTGCTTCTCTTGACTCTGCCTGATGTGACAAGTCTGGTGTCTGTTGTCTCCCCTCATGTGTAGTTAGATTTCACTTGCAACTAGAGTGATCATATTCAGATACCTCAGCCTCTAGAGGAAGATAAGCAAATTCTCCTTTTGTGTTTCTGTTTAAGAGTGATGAAATGTTTTCTCTAGAATTCTTGCCTTTCCTTCTTAAAAAAAAAAAAAAAAGCTTTACTGAGATATAATTCACACATCATATAATTCAATTATTTAGAGTATATAATCAGTGTTTTTTTTTTTTTAGTATATTCACAGAATTGTGCAGCCATCACTACAATAAATTTTAGAAGACTTTCATTGCCATAGAGAAGTCTTTTATGCATTAACCACTACTCCTTGTTCCTCTGGCCTCTGGAAATAATCATTTTTTGTCTCTATGGATACACCTGTTCTCAACAATTCATCTAAGTGGTTTCACACAGTATGTGGCCTTTTGTATTTGGCTTGTTTCACTTAGCATAATGTTCTGAGGCTTATTTATGCTCTACCATGAAACAACATTTCATTCTTATTGTTGAATAATATTCCATTGTATGGATACACCATATTTTGTTTGCCCATTTCTCAGTGGATGGCTCTCGTGTGTTTCCATCCCTTTGCTTCTGTTTTGCCAAGAACTTTTCCATATACTTATCTGTAGTCCAATCATTGGCAAACCACAGGATGGATTGAACAAATCTCGACTCAGCCTTGGGAACTGAGGATAAATGAAGCTCCCCTGCAACTGTGGCCTCTTATAAGAGTGTGAATATTCAAATAAAACTTGTTTTCTGTTAGAAGTGAGGAAGGAAGGGGTATTGAGCCAGTGGGAGAGATGATAGGGTCTACCACAGGTAACAACCAATGTTGTTTAGTACTGAAACCTTGGCTTTTTCTCTCCTGACCAGTGACATCCAATCGGAAACAAAGCTTGTGTATTTGGTCTCTGCAATTTCTCTTCTCTCTTCCTCTCCCTCTCCCTCTCCTTCCCCTTCCCCTCACCTTGTGTAACCCTCTCTGCTGTATGATCATAGTATTTCTCATCTGTTCATTTCTCACACCTTCTGCATACACCGGTCTTTTGTCATGCCTTTTCCTTCTCCAGTCCATCTGACACATCTTGATGAGAACAACCTTTCTGTGTCACAAACCTGCTAGTAATAATGTCACAGCCCCCTTTCAAAAGGTTTCCTCAGCTCCATTGCCTATAAAATTAAATCCAGATTCATCATCCACACATTTCAGGTCAGTCTCAAAATAACATTATTTATCTTTCTCAAAAATTCTTGTCTCTGCTTATAAAAATCCTACCGATTCATAGATACATCCCAGATACTAATAGCTAACATTTATCAAGCTTGTGGTATGTGTCAGCACCATTCTAACACTGATTAGAATTATTCTATTGGTTCCTCACAAGAAATCCATGAAATCTAAACAATTAGCAATACAAGCTGAGTATCCCTTATCTGGAATATTTGGGACCAGAAGTGTTTTAGATTTCAGATTTTTTGGATTTTGTGATATTCGCGTATTAGACCTGTGGATGAGACCCAGGTCTAAACACAAGATTCATGTATGTTCCATAAACACCTTATACACATAGCCTGAAGGTAATTATGTGTAATTTTTACTGTACTTGTGTCTTGATTTAGCCCATCACATGGGATCGGGATGAGATATTTACTTGTATCATGTTGGCACTTAAAAAGTTTAGGAATTTGGAGCAATTTGGATTTCAAATTTTCCTATTAAGAATGCTCAATCTGTATTATCATTTTAAAGGTAAGGCAATCCAGGGTAAGTATGTTGCCCAGGACAACATAACCCCTAGGTGCTAGAACCAGAATTCACATCCAGGCAGTTTGATTCCTATGTGTGAGTGTCTCCTTCTTGAAACCTTACATGATTACATCTTTTGTGTCTTAGTCCCCTCTCCTGACCTTGGACCCCACCCTCACTGATTGCAGTCTCTCCCTTCTTTGTGACCATATGAGGTTTTCTTTATAACTCTCTTATGCCACATTTTATGTGTTGCTTTAGGCCTGGTTCATAAGGAAGGAGGGGAATTAATATTTTTAACACTAACAATGGAGATTATAATAATTTATATTCTTGTTTCCTTGCCATCCTTTCTTGTCCCTATTGGATCAAACACTAGGGGTTGGGGGAGGGAAGTCATGTATCTTCCTCTTTTTGTGTTACTGATGTACTCATTATTGTGGGTGCAGTGGTGATGGTCTGTAGGATGGTTCCTGAGGGTCCAGCTGGGCGGGGAAAATGGCAGGCATGAGATGTAAGGAATGGTGGCCTTTGGAGACACACAGACCTGATGGTGAATTGTAGCTCCTCAGTGTACTCAGCTGTATGACCTGGGACAGGTATTTACCCCTTCCACTATGGGCTGCATTGGGTCTGTCCCAAATTCATATGCTGATATTCTAACCCTCAGTACCTTAGAATGTGACTATAACTGGAGGCAGGTCCTTGCAGAAGGAGTAGGATGCAGCTATGTATGTGCACAGAGGAATGGCCACAAGAAGGCATAGCAAAAAGGCAGCCATCTGCCAACCAAGAAGAAAAGGCCTTGAGAGAGAAAATCCTGTGGACTTGCTGATCACTGACTTCCAGACTCCTGAATCATGAGAAAATATATTTCTCTTGTTTCAACCAACTGGTCTGTGGTATTTTGTTATGGCAACTCTTGGAAACTAGTACACTCTTTTAGCCTCTGTTACCTCATCTGTAAAATAGAGCTGATAAAGGATTTAGTGGAATAAAATTCTTAGCACAGGGCCAAATGTTCCCTTGTATTGTAACCAGCCAGTAGCAAGTTCCCACTTTGTATCATCTAACATAATACCTTTGAGAACAGGAATGTTGGGATTGAGAGAAGTTTGAGGCTAGCCCCTTGACCACTGGCAAAGAATAAGTTGAGATGGGCACAGAGTTCCAGTAGCTACAAATGGACAGATTCAAGCCCTGGCAGATAGAAATTAACAAGGACCAAAGGAGACATGCTGCATCTGCATCTGCAAGCACAGAATGCCCATCTCCAACTGAGTTAAACAAAAAAGCTGGATGTATTTTGGCCTGCACTGAATAGCTCAGGGGTGGAGACAGGAGCTCAAAAGGTGTCATGGGATTTCTCTCCTGCCACCTCTCTCTCTCAGGGTTGGGTTCCTTCTCTTTTAATTCTGTTGTTCTTCAATAGATTTCGTGTTTGTGGTTGTAAGCTATCTGCAGAGTCTCGGATACCTTTACTTCTTTTCAGAGTTCAAGAGGAAAAAGTCCATGCTTCTGTTCATCACCCAGGCAGGACCTGACACCCACCACCCCTTGGGTTTGATTAGTTCCCTTGTGGTCATATGCCCATCTCTGTGCCTGTGTTGGTCAAGTGGTCTGATGATCTGATTGGCTCAGGCCTGGGTCACATGGGACTTGGCTAAATCTGAACCAGCAGCTTGAAAGGATGTATGAGGGAAGGGGTCGAACACTTGCCAGAGAATGGTGACCAGATAGCTGCCCCTAACAAATGACTACCAAGAGGTGATAATAAAAAGCAAGCCAAGAAGCTCTTTCTCTTTCTCTATATCCCTCCCTGTCTCCCTCTTATTTCTACTTCTTAATGTAGACTTCAGATTCCAATCACATTTTTGTGGTGCTCCAATTCTAGTTTACCTGGCGATCTGATTATTGGATTCAGAGGTGGTCAGCCTGCACACTGCAGCTGCAGGGCTATGTGGGGTAGCGTCCAAAGGGACAATGATGGAGCCACCCCACAACCAAGTTAGCTTGTCTTGGTGTACAAGGGCTTCACAGCCTTCTGGAATCTGTGTTCTTGCAGTTCCAAGTGTGATGCTTGAGTAGACTCAGTTCCAAGTGTCACTTGTGATGTGTGACATACCAAATAGAATACTAGTAACAATGGTTAATACTAAAGGAGTACCCGCTACATATCAGGCATTATGAGTACTGAACATGCTCCAATCTCAAGAACATGCTCAAATGAGCACCCTCATTTTCAAGGCCCCAAGAGGTTAAGCAACTTGCCTGATGTTTCCCAGGCGAGAAATAACAGAGCCAGAATTCCCAAGCAGCGATTTGCCTGACTCCAAACCCCTTACTCTACCACTCAGCCTCACCACACCGCCTCCACAGTTGGCAAGCCGCTTGGATTGCAGTCTGCAAACAATTAGCAAGAGCAACTCTCCAGCAAATCCAAGAAACAACCCGATTTGCAGAAGGGGAGGGGGCAGCTGTCTGAAAAGAGAAAGCTTTTTCCCTCCCCAGCTGGTTGACTGGGAGCAGTTTGCCACAGGCTGCTAAGGGCAAGGAAGGGGCGGAATGTTCACTGAACGTTCATTCTCCCAGTTGTTTTTCCATGACATTGAGCTCACACTCCAGGGAAAATGCAGGGCCCGAGTGGAAATGTCGTCCAAAGCCGTTCAGCCAGAGTTTTTTAAAGAAACTTTTGTTGGTGGAAATCTCTTTACTCTCCTGACTTCTCTGGGCTTAGGCTTGCCTGATGAAAATAATAATAATAAAAAAAAAACAGCCAGATAGATTTGAATTTAAAATAAACAACAAATCATGTTTCAGTGTAAAGAGGTGCCATGTAATGTGAGGGATATACTTATGCTAATACATTATTCGTTGTTTATCTGAAATTCAGATTTAAGTGAACATCCTGTGTTTGCTAAATCTGACCATCTTGCCTGGATTTCAAGCAGAAGGCGATTTCCCCTGTCTACTGGCTGACCAGACCCCCACAGGTTATTTCATTCTTGTGCAGGAAGGGGAATGTAAGGACATATTCTGGAAATCGCCTACTTCGGCTGGCTCTATCTTGCTCCTTTAAGAAAAGTTTCACAAATGGTGTGGGATCTGTAAATAATAACAGTGACAATAGTAATCCTTTCAGGATCTGGGAAATGTCTTGAGGGATTGAGGGGAAATAACTTTTCACTAAAGTTCCTGGAAACTGGTCAGTGCAATTTGTAATTAGTAAAGAGTGGCAAGCATCGCTGCCATAGCATCTGTGGGAGCGTCCCACAGAGGAAGTGGGACAGGGCCCTGACCTCCTTGGAGCAAAGGACCCTCCCTAGGGATTAGGTTTGAAATCTAGGCTCTGCAAGGCCAAGTGACAGTGGAGCATTGGGTGCAGGCGAGGGAGAAGGAAGGGTCAAGAGGGAAGGGTTAAGAAGGAAAGAAGGGAGGGAGAGGAAGCTTTAGTACAACTCCACATCATTTCCCCATCACCATGCTTTCTGCCTCCTTTTCATTCACAAACCTGAAAGCACATTCTTGGCCTTGAAGCTCTCCTACTCAGACCCTTCTCCTCTCTTGGTTCCTGGCACAGTGAATTTCGTCATTTTTTTGCAGTGATGGTCTTGCCAGAGATTGCCCTCTCTAACCAATAGCAGGCCAGCTGTCAGAAGAGCCTCTTTGAAAGGAAGACACCCTGGGAGGGTTAGTGTTTGCCAAGTAACTAAGTGTCCCCATGTTTGCAGGTGTTTAGTGTATGTTTGTAGGCGTGCACAGCACTGAATACAAGGACCTATTGTATCTTGCACTCTGAAGCTGGCTGAGGGCCTGGTAGCTAGGGTGGGTCACAATTCACAGCAACTCAGCAGTCTTTTATTGAGTTTCAAGGTTCAGTACCCTGTGCTGAGACTATAGGAAATGTGAAGATAATGCTGATTCCTGCTTTCAGGGAACTTAAAATCTAATAGGGGATAAGGAAAGGAGACAGAAACAAAAGAGGCAGAGCTGCGTAAGCGTCCTCAGAAGGGTGAAGCCCAAAGTTTTTAACATGCTCAAGACAGTGAGAAAATATATTGGCTTGGAGGATAGATCAGGAAATCTTAATGGAGGAGGTGGCATGCGAGATGAGTCTTACAGAATGGGTGAGAGTTCCTTAGTTTGGGAATAATGGGGAAGACTTATTTGGTGATTTGTATTTTTATTGTGTTTCACATAGAAATAAATCCATCCTTAACATAGATCCAAAATGCATTTCACTAATGAAAAGCATAATCATATTAGGGGAAACATCCAAAGCAGACAAACAGGACCACTTTTATTACAATATTTCCTCCTCTTGGAGTATCCTAGGGATATTCACTCACTGCATTTCTCAATTTGTAAATATGAAATACCTGAAACTTGTATAACTTAAATAAAATGTTAAAAAGTGAGAAAAAATAATTAATATGAATAAATATTTAATTAAATACTTTTTTCCTTTATTCATATTGTAAAAGTGTTATATAGGTGAAATCCTTCTGTAATGGATTTCGCTATAGCACAGGTCTTGGATTTGGAAGTCCTGTGCCATTTAGAGCTCTTGTTGTAACTGTGGGTGGCTGCATATGTGGTTGTAACACATTTACTTAAGAAATTTTGCTAATGTTTGATCACTTTTTGTCTACCTCTTTGGAAATTTTTTGATCTTTAAGTAGAGTATTCGTGTGATGATTGCTACTGAACACCCACCCGTGTTATGATTAAGAGTTAAGATATGGCAAGGTTTCTAAAACATTCTCAAGAAACTGGCATAATTGTTTTGAAAATGGTTGGGGTTTTGCTTAATTTCGTCATAACTTCTGCACAAGGAAAGGCTCTGGTTCCTTTATGAAAGAGGCAGAGGCTTTGGCAGTCTGCAGCACACTTCTTGACATAGAAACTACCTCCCAAATGAAGGAAGTCTTGATAAAGGAGTAGAAGGTAGAGTTCTGAGCTGGCTTTCTGGGGGCCTAAGTAACCATTTCCTGATTCAGAAAGAAGCTCAGAGGGATACAGCATTTATAGGCCCTGATGCTTTAACTTTCTTTTTAACCGAATCTCAAGGGATCGAAAGACTTTCTTTAACTTACTAGCCAATGGAAGGGCTACCCTTGAAAGTAGCCTTCCACATACAATGAGGAGGGTGGTTCCACAGTAAACGGTTGCTCAGCTCAGATGCTAGGCAGTGTGGCTCAATTCCAGGCTCCACCAGGACCTCAAGTTACTTAGTCTCTTTCTACTTCAGTTTCCCCATAAACAGGCATCATTGTGTTAATGCTATTATTTCATAGGTCTGACATTATTCATTTGTTCAAGAAATAGATTGAGCACCTACCATGTGCCAGATCTGTGCAGATAAAGCAGGCTGCCCTGCCTCCATGGAATGATAAAATGGACACCATCTGTTGAGTCCACTGCACAGAGTCAAAAAATACTGTGAAGGAAGCTACTGTCCCAACTGCCATTACGTACAAGTTCCTCTGAAGGGCCATCTCCCAGCTTCTTTTTGAAGAACACTGCCATTGGAAGCCCTGCTAAGTAGAGAACTATTCAGTAGGTCAAACTTTTTTTTTTTTTTTTTTTTTTTGGACAGGCAGAATTAGACAGTGAGAGAGAGAGAGAGAGAGAGACAGAGAGAGAGACAGAGAGAAAGGTCTGCCTTCCATTGGTTCACCCCCCAAATGGCCACTACAGCCGGCGTGCTGCGCCGATCCGAAGCCTGGAGCCAGGTGCTTCCTCCTGGTCTCCCTCATGCAGGGCCCAAGCACTTTTGGGCCATCTTCCACTGCCTTCCGGGACCACAGCAGAGAGCTGGACTGGAAGAGGAGCAACCAGAACAGAATCCAGCGCCCCAACTGGGACTAGAACCCGGGGTGCCGGCGCCGCAGGCAGAGGATTAGCCAATTGAGCAGCAGCGCAGGCCCAGTAGGGTCAGACATTTTAAGTAGACTCCCAGAGTGAGTCTTTCTTAGGCTTGAAAGTGAAATGGTGCTGAGCAAAGTGGTTATTGATAAGAGCAAAGTCTTAGAAGAAAATACCCTAAAATTATACTTTTGGGGTTGGTATTTATTTTTCCTTCTAACTTTCCTATATTGACATATTTAATATGTGTACATATTAGTAATTAACAAGTGGTTAAACCATGTATGCACTTTAACAGAGTTTCTTCTTTGTTTTTCCCTCTTTCCCTCTCATCTTTTTTTTCTTTTCTTTTTCTTCCTTGTCTTGTCTTATTTTTTTCCTCTCCTTTTCTCTTGCATATCCCTCTCTCCCTCCCTTCCTTTCCTTTTTTCTTTTTTCTCTCTCCCTCCCTCCTCTCTCTCTTTCTCACCTTTCTTTCCTTCTTTCTTTCTTTCCCTTCCTTCCTTTCCTCCCTCTTTATCCTCTCCTCCCTCTTTACTCTCCCCTCCCCTTCCTTCCTTCCTTCCTTCCTTCCTCTTTCTCTCTCTCTTTCTCTCTCTCTTTCTCTCTCTCTTTCTCTCTCTCTTTCTCTCTCTCTCTTTCTCTCTCTCTCTTTCTCTCTCTCTTTCTCTCTCTCTTTCTCTCTCTCTCTCTCTCTCTTTCTCTCTCTCTCTCTTTCTCTCTCTCTCTCTTTCTCTCTCTCTCTCTTTCCCTTTCTCTCTCTCTTTCTCTCTCTCTCTTTCTCTCTTTCTCTCTTTCTTTCTTAAAAACATCATAAGTAAAAACTTGTACAATAGTCCCTCCTCATCTGTGGGAGATACATTCCAAGACCTCCAGTGGATGCCTAAAACCTCAGAGAGAACTACATCTGGTATGTCCTATGTTTTTTCATATATATACATATTTATGATAAAATTTAAAGGAAGGCACAATAAGAGATGAAGAACAATAATAAAATAGAGCAGTTATTACAAAATCTGTAATAGGAATTATGTGAATGTGGTATAGTTCTCTTCAAAGAGTCAAGACAAACATTAATATTTTTAGGTGACAGTTGACTGAGGGTAATTGAAGCTGTGGAAGGTGAAGCCAAAGGTGCTTTGAGAAGTTTAATTAGTTCATTTACAAAGAAGCTGCCATAATTAAATCTCCTCTGTCTACTATAGAAATGGCTATCTAGGGCCTCTTAGGAATTGCTAAACATTGCTGTCAAGCAACAGAAAATGTCACAGCAATATTGTGATATTTTCAGTAATAATATTTATGTACTTGCTATCTTATTTTACTGCATAAAGCACATTATTTCCTTTTAAATTCTGGGATCCAAAACTAACATGAAGCCACAAGAAAGATTTTTTTTTAAAGACAATGTTTTTTCTAAGTCTATGCTTCTTATAAAGTAGCAGAGAATGCTGCCTTTTTATATACTCCAAGCCTAGGTACCATATGTTGCAAACCAGACTGTATTTCTAATACCTAGTAGTGAACAAATAAACCCATTAATAATTATTAAATGTTTGCTTTGGGCAAGAATTCATGTTGGATTTCAGTGGTGTTAGTAAATAATAAGATCCTTTGAGAATCATGTAACTGGGGAGATAACAAAAGGTATATTAAAAATTCAAAGCCAGGAGATAGACACCCCCCCCACCCAAAATCATAAAGAGAGTTTTGAGACAGTTGCTCTTCAAATAGAGGGTTTGGTTTAGTTAATTCATTTCTGAGAGTTGTTTAATGGCAAATTAGGGACAAATGTCTTCCTAGCAACTTCAGCTGCCATGTGGTTCAAGCCAGACTGTATTTCTCATATTTATCAGCTAATACATTCAATAGTCAACAAGTTTTCCTTGAGTATCTGCTTTGCACAAGACCCAGTGCTGGATTTTTAAAATTTGTTTTTTAATTTTGGAACTTAATGAATTTTAGAACATATGTGTTGAATATTTGGGGACAGATTTGCAACCTCTGTAATGTTCTGGAAGACACTAAGCCCAGTTCCCTATAGTCAGCCTCCTCTTCTACTTCTCAGAGCTTCAGAGGGTCCCCCATAACACAGATGAAACAAGTGCATCATTGGAAGTTCAAAGGGTAGAAATGATGGCATTCTGATGAACTCTTCTTTGATCATAGGAATTTTGCATCTGAGTAAAGAAGCTGAGGCTAGGAGACTCATGATTCTAGAAGGGCTACTTCCTCTGCACCAAGCAGAGTTCCCTGTATCTGACAGTGGAATGACGCTGCTTCAGAGGAAACCCACGCACAGTAACCCGGTAATTCCCGAAGTGAAAATATGAACTTGCGCCTAATTCATTTCCATGAATCAAGAGTTTGGGTTCTGTAGGGAGGGCAGACCAGTGGGTATGTGTGGAGCCACCCATGTTTATGAGGCTGGGAGTGATTTACACAAAGTGCCACAGACTGTGAAAGGAAGATTTTGGAAATTTTTTTCTGCTTAGAGTTCTGAGATTGCAATTTTTTAAAAGCTCTATGGCATTCATCTAACTGCCTGGGGATTTCTACGGTTCTAAGAAGTTTGAGGTGGTTGTTAATCTAATACACAGTTGAAGTGAGCCAAGGCAGCTTCCCTGTGCCAGCTGTGTGGTAGGATGTCCTCTTAAAAGGCTCTTTAAAATCAGGCATGTAAGGGAATCCTTCTTTCCTGAAGTAGGGCCTCTGAAACTGGGTCAATGGCTCTCATCCTCATCTTCCTGCTTGCTTTGCTGAAGCACATTGTAAGCAAATAAATATCAATGAGTTGCTTAATGATTTTCATAAGGCTCCATCTTTTCAAGGAAAGGGGCTCTCCTGAAATGTTTGATCTGCTCTGTATGAATCTGTTCTCCAAATGGCCAGCACATGTCGAGTCCTGTTGTCCTCTGGGTTACAGGAAGACGCCTTTGATGGGTTAACCGCAGAGTAACTCAACTCTTTTCATGTCACTTTCAAAAGTTCCTTTGTCCTGCTGTGGATCTTGCCACTTTGATTGGATCAGCAAGAGATTGTTCCTGGCAAAGGGTTCTAGTACATTCTCCCTCTGATCAGAGCTTGGTCCCTGGGTAATGGATCTGAAATCTGATGTCCCAGAGCTTGAAATGTAAGCACCAGGCAGCTAGGAAACAGTTACCCAACTCTAGATGAGCCACTCATACTTTTCCAGTACTCAACCCCCATTTTGTGCCTGAATAAATTTTCTGGGAGCCACATTAAGTCACTGTCTTCCACCGTCTTGGGGAAGACTGTCTTTGTTTTCAACAAAACATCTCTGTTGCTGCTTGATATTACTGCTTCGGAAGTGGCCTTCCGTGATTTGTGGCCGTGTTCATTCTTCTCCCAGGCTAGATGGAAGTACTTAGCTAATAACCTTCTTGAGGCTTTGCATATGCAGAATAGAATGATGATTTGCCATGGTTAGTTTCGGTAGATTTTGATACACATTCTTGTTACAACATAATGGAGGAGACATACAGGAATCTTCAAAAAATTTGTGTAAAATACATATTATGGAAAACTGCATGAATTTCAAAAAACTTCACCCCAAAGTGAATTTATCTTTTAATGCTATTTTCTTGTGAACTTTTTAAAAAAACTTATTTATTTGAAAGGCAAACAGAGAGAGAGAGAGAGAGAGAGCGAGCGCACCATCTTCCATTTGCTGGTTCCCTTCCCAAATAGCCACAATTGCTGGGGCCAAAGCCAGGAGCCTGGAATTCCATCAGGTCTTCCAAGTACATGGCAGTGGCCCAAGCACTTGAGCCGTCTTCTACTGCTCTCCTAGGTGCATTAGCAGGGAGCCAGATGGAAATTGGAGCAGCCGGGATATGATCTCATGCCTGTATGAGACACTGGCATTGTAGACAGCAGCTTAACCCCCTGTACCAAAATGTTGGCTCCTCCTGCAAACTCTTTGAAGTACTCTTGCACATGGTTATTATCAGGTTGAGAGGGCAAATTGGAAAGATGAGAATGGAATAAAAGAGCTCTTCTTGGTAACTCTCAGCATTGGTTGCAAATTTTCTATAAAAATTAAGTCTCTTGTGAACAAAGCTTAACATTGAATCCAAAAATGTAGTAGCTATTTATCAAAATAAAATATACAAAATTAAGATTTAAGAAAACTAGAGGTTGGCATTGTGGTGTAACAGGTTACGATGCCTCCTGTAATGCCAGTATTACCTATGAGCATCAGTTTGAGTCTCAGCTGCTCCACTTCCAATCCTGCTCCCCGCTAATGTGCCTTGGAAAGCAGCAAAAGATGGCCCAAGTACTTGAGCCCCTGCACCCACGAGGCAGACCCAGAGGAAGCTCCTGGCTTTGGCCTGGCCTAGCCCTGGCCATTGTGACCATTTGCGGAGTGCACCAGTGGATGGAAATCTCTCTCTCTCTCTCTCCCTCCCTCTCTCTCTATCTCTCTTTCTCTCTGTGTGTGTGTCTCTCTCCTTCTCTCTCTCTCTCTCTGCAACTCTGCTTTTCAAATAAATACAATATATCTTTAAAAATTAATAACATCTTTTCCTCTTTGCTTTGTTGTGAATGTTGAAAATATAAAGAGAAACGAAAATGAATCTTGATGTGAATGGAAGGGGAGAGGGAGTGGGAAAGGGGAGGGTTGTGGGTGGGAGGGACATTATGGGGGGGAAGCCATTGTAATCCATAAGCTGTACTTTGGAAATTTATATTCCTTAAATAAAAGTTTAAAAAATATTTTTAGCACTCATATTACTGTCATTAATAGTACCATTATTAGGCCCTACTTAACTCTAGATTTTCTTAACTCTAGATAGATTTCCAAGATAACCATTATTTCTGTCTTACCTCTGTGATTCCAGGCGTTTGGAATCTTTGTCTCCTCATTTATCCTCACAGTGAATAAACTGCTGGGCACTCTGGGTGAGTTCTGCCAGGCCGGGCACTTGTTTGGTATTTAAATTCCATCAGGCTTTTTTCTTCCTTTCTTCCTTCTTTCCTTTCCCTTTCCTTTCCTTTCCTTTCCTTTTGCTTCCTTTCTCGTTTCCCTGTTTCTCTCTTGATGTGAATGGAAATCCAGTGGTGCCCAGAGCTCTTTTCAGGTGGTTGGTATTCGGTTCTCTTAAACAGTTATCCCTCACACCTACCTTCCTCCCCACCCTCCCCCGCACATGAAAGAGAGCCTTGCTAATTTCAAGCTGTATTTTCTAGTTTGGTTAATTGAATTCCCATCCACCCAGCCACCTAGTTCAGAGTCCCTCTCTTCTTTACAACCCTCCTCCCACATCCAATCACCAATTTCTATCAATCTCTCTTAATTGTCACTCATCAGCCACTAGGGCTTTGCCCCAGTCTTTGGCACCCCATGCCTTGTACCTAGATTTGCCACAGTGGCTGCCTCCTAATCATTCTCTTCATTCTCTTCACCTCTACTCTTTCATTTTCTAATCAGTTCTTTGCTTTCTTTTTTTTTTTTTGTTCAAAGCTTAGGGTATTTTTACTGGAATTAAATTTTAATAAATCATGTAGCTATGATTCATTTAGATTGGCCAAGATTTTTTGAAGAAATCATGAATAGGTATATAATTTTACTGAATGTTTTTCAGCTTCCCATTGTCTATTTTAATATGTCAATGTAATAAACTCCATAATTGATTTAGTAATGTTAAATAGTTCTTGCATGCTGTATTATGTGATATTTAAATACACGGTCACTTTGTATTAGTTGCTAGTATCTACTCAGTATTAATGCATTTCTGTATGTGAGATTGGTTCTCATTGTGTCTTCACCTGGCTTTGACATGAAGGTTATAATGGGTTTGTAAAATATGTATTTGTAAAATACTTTAACATACTTTTGTATTCCCTATAATGATTGTTTGTTAGGGGTTATTTATTCTGCTTTGA